CACTTTAACGTTAATAAAGAAAGGGCAGTAGACAGCCTAATCTATTTAACGGTCTGCCCCCGCTATGCAGCTTCTCCACGAGGAAGAAACACTGGGGCCAGCAGGGCCCTGGGACTGCCTCTCAAACAGAGACGCCCTTGCTGCTGTCCGTGCAGCGTTCGCACTCTACAGGGAGAGAATGATAAACTTCTCTCCCAGTGTTTAGGGAGGCTAATCCTCCATCTCCGATATTACTTACTCATTTGATTTATGGCTCCTTTATCTCAATAATTGAACAAATACACACACTTAGATTTCTCAATTTAGCAACTAGGTAATGCAAAGGAATCGCAAGCCTTATTCTTCACAATGTCATTAGTTTACACTGTATCTTAATATCAAACATCATAATGTCATCTGAAACCCCCTATGTTTTAAAAGCTGGAAAACGTGTAAGGCCACTTCAAACTTTCCCAAGCATGCATGTTCAATACATGATAAAGAACCCACTTCTGGACATCTCATGCAAAAGATGAAACAGAAGAACAAACTACCAGTAAAGAAGTAGAACTAAGTACAAATTAAGCAACAACAGACCATAAACAAAGCCCTTTTCTCCAGACTGACCCTGGATTTCTATGTGGAAAGCAGAATTGCATCTGAAGGAAGACGTAGTGGTAAAACAGAAATATATATCACATTTTCAAGCTATCATACCATTTCTCATCTACTAGTTTGTTGAAGAATGACTGCAACATGAGAAAAGTTACGGATGATTAAAGTATAATATGCTAAATAGGATGCATCTCCTTGTAAGGTCATTAAAAATAGTAAAATAAAAAACAAAAGTCACAGTAGTTTCCTTTTTTATCTTCTTTTAAAGAAGGAAAAGTACCCACACAAAACACTCACTCCAGCTGAAGTTGTGTGAGGCTGATATTCTCTTAAATGACAACCAGAATTATAAGACATATTTTGTTTTGTTGTTTTTACCCATTAGGTGTTTCTCTAATCTCTTAGAGAAATAGAAGAGTCTTGACTCTTAGAGACTCAAGAAAATTACGGTACCTATGATGAAGGATAAAAAAAAAAGTCTTCTAAAACTAAAACCCAATACCATTCCACACATCCTATCGGTGTCTCTCTTATTGTCAGATGTTGCAATGCTTCAGTTTTTCATGGCCCATCTGGGCAAACCCGCCCCAAACAAAACACCTTTACCAGTGCTCTTCCTCATGCTCACAAGAAAAACCCGTAAGTGGCTGGCAAAAATATGTGTGCCGGTTCTGTAAATTTATTTAGCAGCAGAATAAGAACGTTCTACACCGTCTATCCCTAGGAAGCCACAGATAAATAATGAAGAAACCATAATGCAAATACTGTATCTCACACATGCATGCAAGCAAATCAAAGTACAACCTGCATGCAAAGTAGATAATGCACTTCTAAATGTACTTAACTAAGATATATATGCTGTCTCTGAGGGAAAAGAGAGAAATTATGCCACTAATACCATAACTGTTCCAAGGCATCATCAAAGGATAAAGAAAAAACAAGAAAACTGGAGAGGGAATAGAATGGCACAACACCAAATACTTTCTGCAAAAAAATAAAAGACAACACACAGCTTAGAAACATGAATTGCAAATGAAGATGGAGCCCACAAAACCAGCAGAATTCTGTAGACTGCTCCAAAGACATCATCATCAAGACTTGTAACACTATCTTCCGTACCCTTGAAAGGAACGGCGTTGAAGAAACTAAAAGCATGCTAAACAAGGCTATGGACTGTCAAATAGACAGAAACCAAGTAACAATAGTAGAAGAAAGTGCAGTTCAAGCTGTAATACACAAAAAGAAGCTCTTCCAATGAGAATGAAAAATACCCACAATACACAACAGAGGAAATTCTTTGTAAATCACTAAAATTCATTGAGCCAGTAACAACAGAGAATTACAAATCTTATCACTCCTTGTCTGCTGTGCTTGTCTTCATCAAAAGCACAACACACTTAGTTTTTTTAAACTGGAAGAGTCGACCTCAACGTGCTCAATAAAACCAACTAACGGGGAAGACAAATGTAAAGTGATGCTATCGCTCCTAATTTGATGAAGTTAGGACTGACAAAGTAATAAGCTGAACAGAGCAACTGTGGTAACAATGTGAAGCCATTTCAGAATTCAAATAAAAATGCTGTCTTCAGTTAGGAATTTGTAAAAGCCCATACTTGTACAGAAAAAGAAAAGAAAAAGAAAAAAAAGAAAAAAAAAGAAGATGCCAGAAAGCCATAGTGAAGAGTTTAAAGGGTAAGAATTTATCCCCTTTTATGGCATATCAAGAAAATCTGCATTGCTCCTTGTTGTTTTAAACCTGTTCTCGTTTTCTTTTTTTAAATTGACACCTTGTCTACTTTGACTTGCCTCAAAACCTGATTCAACAGGTATGAGAACCACAGGTTTCTGACAGTCATATGGAAAACTAATTAAAACACTGAATAAAAATTATTTACTCTTAATTCTTCACTTTGTTACACCCACACAAGAATGAGGACATCGCTACCCTTAGCAAGAAAATCCAGCTTTTTTTTTTTTAACTTGTTTTGCTTTTGTTAACATCTGTTACGTTCTAAGAAGATATAAGTATTATGAAAAAAAACAAATTAAGGTTTCTATTTACTGATGTGCTGTATCAGTTATAAAGATCTTGTGACCTTCCACAAATAGACCTCAGCAAAACTCAGAAGAAATAACAGGGTTAAAGTACTTTCCTCCGTCACCTCTCTGTCCCAGAGGACCCAGTGCACCAACACCACAACCACCCACACTTCTGAAGACAGTGTAGAATTCTGTGGGAAAAGGGCCCAACAAGTCTCTTGAAGATCAAGAGTCCAATGACCTTTTCTATGTTAAATTAGGACATTTAGGTGCACTGTAGTGAATAGCAATTATCGATACCCACCATACTTTAAAAAAAAAAAAAAAAAAAAAAAAAAAAAAAAACATAATCCACAAAGATAAAGCCACACCTCTTCAATTTCATCATTTTACTGCCCTTATGTACATGACTTAAGGTGAAATTCTACCTTACCAAAAACTTCCATACCACTGTCATGCTTCACCTCATTGCTTAAAACCCTGGGAGTAAAAGGCCCTCTTGCTTTGCTACTCACACATGCAACCTACTAAGCACTGTATTTAAGAAAGTGGGTATAAATCACGGTTCGATTTTCATGATATGTTCCAGGTCACAGATAGGTTATGGCACTAGAAGCCATACTACTTATGGGAAAAATTCATTAAATGTTTCATCACGACTCTGTTGATTTGCTCCCTTCCACCACTCAACACAACCACAGACAGCAGAGAGAACCTCCCGTGGTTATTAACAATTTTGGGGCAATAGCATTACAGCTGAATTAGCATGTTCTCTAACATTTGAGTTTTATATGCCAAAAGATTTAAGTTTTCCTAAAGTTGACAGCATGGAAGATTATGAGATACCACCATGCAGCTTTAACACTAAATTTAACTGTCAAAAATTTTGGCTTGTAGATATATGGGTACTGTGGTTATCATGTACGATTGCAGCTGAGACATGACTGTGTTAAAGAAAAGATACAAGGTGCTGCCTGATCGTTAAAGGGCTCCTCGCATTCCTGTAGCCTTCACTGTGCTGTAACAGTGGTGATGGTTTTGCTGTGAAACCAGGGTGTATGTCCCAAAATCCACTCGCTCTAGTGCTTTCATATGTGGGCATGTCTATAACACACACCAATCTTTCTACCTATAATTGTAGCTAACTCTTCTATCCTGTCCTATCCTATGAACTTTTAGAGATATACAATTCTTTATTTGTTAAACTTGCCAGGCAGCCTGGTAAGAGTTTTACATGCAAGTGAAATAGTTCTGCAAATTTAATGTTCAGTGGCTTCACTTCAGTGCATTGCTGCCACCAAAATGCAGAGAGAAAGGAGTGTCAGAGGGAAGCAGGGCCTGCCTGTCTACATGAGCCAGTCTGCACTCAGAAAAGAATGAGAGCAGTAAAAGATTTTGGGTTTGTATCAACATATTTATCTGATATCACCAAGAAGTGGAGCAAGCAGTCCCACTGATTACTTAATTACTTAATAACTCAGAATCACAGAATTTCCGATTGCAAAAGGTCTCTGGAGGTCAGCTATTGGCCACACTAGATAGGGCTTTGTCTAGTACAATCTGGACAACAGCCAAGCATGGAGATCCCACAGACTCTGTGGGCAACATGTTCCAGCACTGCACTACCCTCCTGGTGAACAGCTGCAGCAATTATTAAATTATTCCTGGAACCATAAGGATTACTTTGTCTCTTTTACCACTGAGTTCCTAACACTATGTTGGCTATTGACAGCTCCTTCTGTTGAAGTATGTCAGACAGGTAAAAAACCATTACAGTCTATCAGATCTCATGAGGTGCTCAGCATCCTTTCAGAAGCAGCATTTCTAACTCCTCCTGAAACCAACGAGATTAGAGGGCAGCCTGCATACCTCAAGATTGATTTGTCAAATTTAAATCCCCTACAAAAAGTCAAATTCGTAACACGAGAGGAAAAAGAAAGCATTAGCGTATTAAAGTGCTGCATAGTTTATCTAAGTTTGTCACCTTCTAATTAAAAAGCAATCATGAAGACAAACTATTTTATTGTATTGGCTTTACTATGCAGTAGGTACAGACAAAAAAAATATTTTCTACTACTAACCTTGCCAGTTTTTGGTATGACTGCCTTTCCTTCCAAAGTACTACTATACTTGACTTCTCAATCTTTTCAAAATGTAGCTTAAAAGAAAGTAACACAATCATAATACTAACATGTTAAAAATCACTGATAGTATTTTTTATCACCCCACTACTGACAGAACAGTTTCTTAGTGTGGTAGAAAGACAACTAAAAGAATTTTTGATCGGCATTTTAAAATAAGATTTTTCTAAAGCTACTAGAGTTAACTAACTTCAAATCTCTGAAACAGTCAAGCAATACACGTACCTGCAATCGGAATATTCTGTGAGACTGACAGCTGTACATCTCCAGTCCCAGGTGGCATGTCAATTACTAAATAGTCCAGTTGACCCCAGTCAACCTAGAAGACAACAATAAAAATGTACATTGGAGGTTTGAAGTGTTTTTATTTAAGGCACTTTATAGGAAACAAGGACTGCAATAAAACACAATGTAAAACAAGTGAACCAAGGACACCTCGAAAGAACGACACTTTTCAAAAGATGCCCTTTTAGTCACACTTTCAGCACAGGATCAAGACATTATTTTTCTAAGAGACACAATCTTTGCTGATCACTCAAAACTATGAGCCTAACTTTATTACTAACGTTATAAGCATAATCCTTATTACATTCTTTCCCCCCCAAAAAGTAGCAACAACTTAATTTAAGACTTTTACTTTGCAGCTGCTTAATCACAGCTTAGAAGCAAAAGTTAGGCAAAATTTAGGCTAAAATTCTGGGGTTTGTGCAACAAATACAGCTTGGGAATTGTTTCCATTAATTTAAAACCAATTTTGCTTGCTTGTTAGCACTTCTTTGAAACTATGTATAAATCTTTATTAATTTTTTTCTGGTTTGTTGATGCAAAGTTATTTGTACATGGAGAGTTATCGGTACTGAATTTTTTCTACGAAAAAGAGCTGTTGGGAGGAAAAAAGAAACCAACAGATTTGTTAAATGAAAATCACCAGGTATATTTACACAAACTTACAACGTACATATGACATCACACAATTAAAAACGTTTACTGGTTGCTAGGCACCAAATGAGAGTGACCATTAATATCTATTAGACTCAAATGTGAAAATGCTGTGATTATTTAGGTTCTTTACCAGGAGAGATTTCCAGAAGAGCCAAATAACCCTCTCTAGAGCACTGCGTACTGCAATGCACGTTCTCTTCATGAGAACAGAAATGGTCCTAGGTCTACTCTATATAATGTAAAGCCAAGCTATGCTTTGCCTAAACATTTCCTAATGGTTTAACTAACCTTCAGCAGATCCTCGATTCAATTCTGCCATGGCACAAGTTAGTACCAGTGCACTCTTACTACCCAGCAGTAATGATATCAGGTCTTTTATCACCGCAGTACAGAAGCTTTAGACATCATAACCACGTTAAAAATAAAGACCCGCATATGTCATTTTTCTCTTCATACAGACATAATGCAATTACATGGTACGTTTCTGATTCATACAACAGATAAAAGATACAACAGTCTATGAGCTGCTTTAATACAGGAAAATGCCAAACAAGAGTAGGATTTTACTTTCTCTTTTATTTTACACATTCCCTCAGAATCGTTTTAACAGCAAAAACAACTGACATTTTGCCAGTCCCCCAGTTACTGTCCCGGAGTGTCAGACCCTGTCAGGGGAACACTCAGGCATTTTCATTTAGTTCTTGTGCAGACGATGATCTTCTGGGAAAGCCCAAGCGATGTGAAAGCCAGACTACTAACCCAATGTAGCACTCCAGCGAGAAATGGAATTTTTCAAGGCAGACTGATGAAGATGGAAGATTTCGGAGCGCTTATGGGAGAAGGGTGATGCGGAAAGTTAGTTGCAAATTCTAACTTTAAACATCTGAATTAGGGACTCCCGGGCACACCTCCCTTTCCTCATTTTCCGTACAAAGGCTGCAGGAGGACTAAATGGTGCCTGAGACAGTCTGGCTACTTACGTTAACCACAGCAAACACCGCACTTTACTTTTCCACATTTAATATTGATCTATATTATCTATATCTGTATTATTTTGTAGTATCTATATTTTGGCAACAAAAATGACATATACCTAGCAGATTTCTAAGAGCAATTAGCATTCATTATCATATTGAGACTACATAAGCCCAAAGAAAAATTACATATATGTGCAAAAAAGTATATACGGAAACATAAGCATGGGGTAGAGAAGTCAGTTTATCTAAAAAAAAAATAAATCTGTTTTTTACTTTGTTTTTCTTAACTAATGTTGCTTAGTTATAAAGCAAGATAAATGCCAATGCTGATGAATGCCTCTTTTTCCAGTCAAAATTACTTTGCTCACTTGAAGGCATGAACTTTACATTTCTTTGCTTCTTAATTAAAAATTAACCATTATAAAGGTGACAAATTGAAATTCTATAGATGTTAAAAAGTAGCAGTGGTTTACATGAGCAAAGTCAAGTTCCTTAAAGATTTGCAACTAAACACACATATCCTTTATAAATAGTTAAGTGCATAAATCTCAATATGCAAAACCAAATCTTTCATAATAATAATAACCCTTTTGAAACACTAAGGTATAGAGGGTTTTACTTTTTAAAAAGGATTCACTCAAAATACTCTTTTTCCCCTCATGTCTTCATAAAGGCTGATCCTGGCATCTTTTGTTAACTCTGAATTTTCAAGTCCAGTAATCATATTTTCCTTCCTTAAATACTTCCACAGAAACTATGAATAAACTGGTTTTTTGCTTTCTGCCTTGCAGCAAGATGCAGTCCTGAAACACATCTATGAGTGGCATAGCACTACTATCATTCTGACACAGTTTCCAATCACTTTGCCAAAAACACTTGGTTCGTGAAAAAACTTGGATATTGAGTAGTTTTCAGCCCTTTTCTCCACAAGCTCAACTTCAAGTCCTTTTAGGTACAGCACTGCCTCATAGAGTAGTGCAAGGCAATCCAAACCCCACCCTTATCAGAGCTAACTGGAATAAAAAAATACATACAGGTTTTTTTTTTCCCATAGCTAAAAGCTGTCTGGTTTTGCATATACTTGCTGGCCCTAACTTTAACCTAGCTCCTCTTGTGGAACAAGGTGACTTTCTTGGCCTGTCCTATAACTTTTCTTTTCACTCTTATCAGAGGTTCTGCTCCTCCAACCTCTTCAAGCACTGGTCTCCTTCATCAAGCTCCACGTGATCCCCCTACCTAGAAAGCATTACAGTTCCCCAAAGGAAACATCTAGACCTGCTCTACTACTATGTGGAATGCTAATGGAGACGACCTCAAAGACCAGTGCTCACACCCCTTTTCCAGGTGTTCAGTTTTGTGGGGAAGCACAAAGCAGTTGCTGATCTTCTCAGCAGAGGTAGCTGCCTTGGTAAAAACATCTCCATGTAGAACCTTTAAAGTAAAACACTTCCATAAATAGCTTTCTACTTCAAAAACACACAAAAGAGTTGTTGCTTAAGAAGTTACTTTCAAAATTTACTATGCATAGCAGAATAGGAAAAGGAGTAAAGAAATCAGAGGGCACCAGAGCTTTCTATCTCAAGCTTCCTTAGTAAGTGACCCCATAACAATAAAAAGAACTTTCAACATGCACTTTCTGGATTGTCCTATGAGTCATGATTTTTATTAAAGTTATAGACCTCTGAAAACAGAAGTTAATAATGGAATCTTAAGCACATGGTGACTCTCAAGGTAAATCTCATTGCTAGGCAACAGGAAAAATACTCTAACACATAGTGCAATTAGATTATAATGCTTTACTTAATTTATGGCACTGAAACCATCTTATTTCATATATTTTCTTCAAATTCATGGATTGAAAAAAAAGAAATGAGCTGTCTTTATCAAATGAATTGTGCTCCATTATAATACTTATAAATCTGAGCACAGAAAAATGGAGAAGCTGCCCCATTCCAGCAGCAGTGGAGAGGACGTGTTGCTGCTGTGCAGAGTAGGACAGAAGACAGGCTTTTGTCACACCAGTTCAGAAAAGGCAACAGTGAAGATGCCTAGGTGCGTAAGTGTTGAATGTATGTGAGAACTACCCTCCACACACCTCTCTGAGTTATGCCACTGCTGTGGAGCTGAACTGATGGAAGTCAGGTGGCAAACTCGATTGGAAAACCGCTCCTCATTAAAACTAACCTTGGCTTTTCTTTTGGATTTTGGATGTAGTCAAATAGTTATCCTCACAATTTTATTCTCTTCTTTTTTATTTGTAATTCAGGGTGAGAATGGAGAGCCGCAGCACAATGACAGCTATAATTGCTGAAAAGAACTGCGCTAGTGGTTTTGCCCGTAGTGAACAATGTCCTCTGGACATATGGACTTGCTCAGACTTAGGTTGGGGAACTCTGCACCTCATCCCGTTTCTCTCTGTAGACGACTTCTTATTCTCTTCTATTCTGCAACAAGTAGATGATGAACATTGTGGAGTTCAGTTGCTCCGCTGCTACCCTCCCACAGGAATACACAAGCAGTACGAGTCTTTCATTAAACAGATTATTGAATGCAATTTGGAAGGTATAATGATTTGATACAGAAGCGTACACGTTATTTAATGGGAGAAGAAATTCCAGGTCTGTTACTAATTTTCAGCAAAGGAGAAAAAAAAAGGGAGGAGAGACATTTTTAATTAAATTTAGAATTGGAATATATAATCAGAGGAGTGGCTTCCTGAAATATACTATTGCCATTCATTCAACATTATTAAAATAGGACGTATAATCAGGCTGTGATGTAAAACACTAATTTGAATGCAAATCCTGTTTATATGCAACAATTTACCAAATCAGGACCACTAGTCCTCATGTTCTCAATCAGTTCTGAGAAGTGTGTCTGTATGCAAATGTGGTTGCATACAAGTAAATGAGCTCAGATTAACAGCACATTACATTAAATGAGTTCCCTTTGCACTCAATAAGCGGACAGCGGTTACAAAAGCCTGCCTTGTAGCATCTGAAGTCTGTCAGCACCTTTGCATGTACCAAAGTGTTAATATCTTTGCCCCTCTAATATATACAGTGTGTAAAACATTTCAAACCATAGAAATGTAATTGCACTTTCCTTAAGTGCAATTAAGTTCCTTTTCATCTTTTTTAAAAAAGGTTTAACTTGAAGTTTATTGTTAAGCAATGTAATTAAGTGCCATGTGCTTCTGTGTATTTTCCCTTGCTCAGAAACACCACGAATGCTTCTATGTAAATTACTTTCATCAATCACTCTGTTTATGTGACAATTCATAATCAAAATACCAGATATGCATTTTGAGTAAGGGTTCCAAATAGCAAGTTAAACCCCGAGGTAGAGCATAGATATACAGATGGCATTTCTGCTGAGGAACGAAGCCTGAACATCCTCT